TCTCTCTCTCTCTCTCTCTCTCTCTCTCTCTCTTTCAGTTCAGGAAGTGATTTCGCCTTCATTCTGACATCATTCTCCAGCGCTTTCAGGACTTTTTTTTAAAGACACAGTCGGACCGTCCCGTTGCGTTCACATTAAATGCACGGTATTCATCATTTATTCCTCGGCAGACGCGATATATTTGCGTGATTAGTGTTGAAATATGCTCTCACATTTCGAAAAAAAAAGTAAATATCAAACTAGTGTGACAAACATGCAATAGATAGAGTGAATACTGTAGTAAAGCACTTTCAGTGAGTGTGTAGTTAATTTGATAACGTAACTATAGTAATGTTCTGCTATTGGGAAAATTACACTAAATATTAGTCTATAATGTTTTTAATTATAGAGGTAAAGTTGGTTTTATTTTCGCACATTCATTTAGTATTGCCACTTATGCTCCCTGTATTATAAACCATGGTACATTTAATATTCGGCTTATAATAACGCAAGGACTATAAGGCAACACTAGCACTATTTAATTGACTGTGAACAGTGCTGTACTTTGACAGTCATTGGCTGCTAATGTGATTTCACTATTTGGATTTTGTAAAAATGCTTTCCTGAAAATAAAAATAATAATATTATTAAGGAGAAAGTCTGGATGTGTAAATATAAAAACTATTTTATCTCAGTGTGATCTTATAGTGTGAATACTATAGTAAAGCATTTGAAGCGATTAGTTAATTTGGTAACGTAACTATAGTTATGTTCTGCTATAGGGAAAATTGCACTATAATACACCGGTTTACTGTAGTAAAAACTAAAGTATACTACTGTGTTTACTAGGCAGTTCACTAAACAGTTTTTTCTGTAAAGCCTAATGTAATGCATTTTAAAAAAGAAAAAAAAATACATAAGGTGTTTTGAAGCATACTATGGTAAATTATTATACTATATTACAGTATTTGCAACACTTTATTAATGAATGGTTCAGCATACTGTAGTATTAAATATGGTGAACTGAAAATACTTAGTATGCATTAGTTCTTGCTACAGTAAACGGTGGTGTGTCACAGTAAAATATATACTATAGATACCATAGCAACTGTAGAATCACCACAACAGATCAATTACTATAGTTGTTGTGATACCATAGCAACTGTAGAATCACCACAACAGATCAGTTAATATAGTGGTTGTTACCATAGCAACTGTAGAATCACTACAACAGATCAGTTAATATAGTGGTTGTTACCATAGCAACTGTAGAATCACCACAACAGATCAGTTAGTATAGTTGTTGTGTTACCATAGCGACTGTAGAATCACCACAACAGATCAGTTAGTATAGTTGTTGTTACCATAGCAACTGTGGAATCGCCACAAAATAATATTTTAAGTACTTTACAATGGTACCGTTAAAATACAATATAATATTTACTTTAAATTAATATAAAGAAGCATTGGATCAACTTAAACATTGGGGCTTGTTACATATACAATAAAAAATGCGGGGTTTAGTAAGCCTATGCTGGGTCAAATATGGACAAACCCAACCACTGGGGTACAAATTACTTTTAAAGAATATAATAAACCTCTTTAGAGTGTAAAAAGTAATACATTTTTATAATAAATTAAGTTGAAAATGGTGACACGGTGGCTCAGTGGTTAGCATTTCTGTGTGGAGTTTGCATGTTCTCGTTTTGGTGTGGGTGCTCCAAACACATGCGCTATTGGGGAACTGATTAAGCTAAATTGGCTGTAGTGTAAGAGTGTGTGTGTGTGAATGAGTGTGTATGGGGGTTGAGTGTGTATGGGTGTTTTCTAGTACTGGGTTGAAGCTGGAAGGGCATCCGCTGTGTAAAACATATGCGGGAATAGTTGTCGGTTCATTCCGCTGTGGTGATTGTGTTTGTCTAGTTGAAACAAATAAGGACACAGTTGTCTGACTTACGTACATTTATTGCACACAGAAACCCTTAACACACCCACAGCTGTTCGTCATAGTGTTTTAACGCTGTTCCTGAGATGTTACTGAACTGTGCTACAACACAACCGCCGTCTGACGTCCCGGAGACCGAACCAGGTATATTTCACAGCGGTTTATCCAGCACTGACCCTCCTGGACTGAGCCTGTCAGAAACGCCACCGCTGCCCGTTCCGATTCAGAACAAAAGAGTGTGCTTGGCCAAGTATGAGGCATATGATGTTTGATCCTCCAACAATGGGAGATTGTACTCACTCACTCTACTTTCATGCCAGCCTGGCGCCAACAACACCACACTAATGCAACATGGGGCATCAGACTCATGCTCTGATTGGCACCACACAAATAATATGGCCTGAACGCCACAAGTGTGCTAAAACAGGCCATAAGTGAAGAGTATTTCAGTGTGTCTGCATGAAAAAACACTGTAATAATGATCAGTAAATACTAGTGTTATTGAACCACACGATAGGATTACAACCAATGTATGTAATTAAAAAACTAAAGTATAGTGTAGTATACTTTAGTTTTACTACAGTAAACTGTTCTATTGTAGTATAATATACCATAGAGTCATAAAAACTACAGTATTGGGTCTTTTGTTTATGTTGTGTTACCATAGCAACTATAGAATCGTTAGTAAACAATCAATAGCTATGTTGTTGTGTTACCATAGCAACTGTAGAATCAACACAACCGATCAATAGCTATATTTTTGTGTTACCATAGCAACAATAGAATCGGCAAAAAAAAAAATCAACTGCTATAGTTGTTGATTTACCATAGCAACTGTAGAATCATTACAACAGACCAATTACTATAGTAGTTTTGTTACCATAGCAACTGTAGTATTGCCACAACAGCTCAATTACTATAGTAGTAGTGTTACCATAGCAACTGTAGAATCACCACAACAGATTGATTACTATAGTAGTTGTTGTGTTACCATAGCAACTGTAAAATCACCACAACAGATCAATTACTATAGTAGTTGTTGTGTTACCATAGCAACTGTAGAATCACCACAACAGATTGATTACTATAGTAGTTGTTGTGTTACCATAGCAACTGTAGAATCACCACAACAGATTGATTACTATAGTAGTTGTTGTGTTACCATAGCAACTGTAAAATCACCACAACAGATCGATTACTATAGTAGTTGTTGTGTTACCATAGCAACTGTAGAATCACCACAACAGATTGATTACTTTAGTAGTTGTTGTGTTACCATAGCAACAGTTTCTTGTAAGTGCTATACTACAGTGTGGTTTGAAATCAGTGTAGTATTTAGCTTACATTACTACAGTATTTTTGCGTGCGTGTGATCGGAAGTAAAACCACCTTCTCAAAGTAAACATCAGCATTAAATTGAGGCACATGCAGATCTGACAATGAACAAAACATACAAAAATGACTCCCTTACACACTTTGTTCAAAACACAACAGCACACAAACACGTCCGTATAATTAGTATAAAACTTTAACAAGAACAAAAAAAAAAAAAAAGAATATACACACTGAATGGTGTTTTTTATTTTTTACAATGGGATGAAATTCAAACTGTAGCTAAGGGTCTTCTACTCAGGTCGCTTCATTCCTGTGTACTTTCCATTTGTCTTAAGTGGAAGCAGGCAAAAAAATCACTGTAAGGGTCCAACATTATTGATTTTTCCTTCATGACAAAATTCACAAAAATATTAAGTAAAGATCATGTTCCAAGAAGATATTTCATAAGATATAACAGCTTTAGGTGGAGTAAATGATGACAGAATTTTCATTTGTGTGCGCTGTCCCTTTAAGAGCGTCTCAAACACATTCTCAGTTCTGTCAATCTGCATGCATTAAAACCCAAACCCTAATTCTTTTTCTTTTGTGCCAAATATATTTAAAATATTAGACAAAGATCATGTTTTATGATTATATTTTGTAAATAAATATATCAAAATTTAATTTTTGATCAGTAATATGTATAATTGCACAACCTTCACAAATTTCAATTACAAATTTCACATTTTTGCTCCTCAGATTTCAGATTTTCAATAGTTGTCCAATCCTCACACACTAAACATCAACAGAAAGCCTCCTTATTAAAGAAAATGACACTTATAAAAGGGTTTGTGGTGCACATTTGGACAAATGTCAGTAAACAAACAGATCTCACCACCCATTTACTCCAACTATAGTATATATGGCAGTAAATGAGCGGTGAGATCTGTTTACTTGCTGACATTTGTCCAGATAGACCTGTATAGAAAACCAAATCAGCTTTAGTTTGAGTAGATGATGACAGAATGTTCATTTGTGTGTGCGCTGTCCCTTTAAGAGCGTCTCAAACACATTCTCAGTTCTGTCAATCTGCATGCTTTAAAACCCAAACCCTAAATCTTTCTCTTTTGTGCCAAATATCATTAAAATATTAAGATCATGACCAAAAAAAGATTTAACTTTGTCAAATATCATTAGATTATGAAGTAAATCATGTTGTGTGAGGATATTCAGTAAATATTCATCTGTAAATATACCAAAACTTGATTTTTGATTAGTAATATGTATTGCTAAGAGCTTAATTTGTACACATTTAAAGACAAATTTCTAAATATTTAGATATTTTTTAAACCCTCAGATTCTAGATGTTCAATAGTTGTATCTCAGCCAAATATTGTGCAATCCTCACACGCCAAACATCAATGCAAAGCCTCATTATTAAAGAAAATGACACTTATAACTGGGTTTGTGGTGGACATTTGGACAAATGTCAGTAAACAAACAGATCTCAGCACCTGTTTATTCCAACTATAGTATTTAGATTTAATATAGATGGCAGTAAATAAGTGGAGAGATCGGTTTAGTTACTGACATTAGTCCAAATAGAAACATATAGAAATCCATAGGGTGGAGTAGATGATGACAGAATGTTCATTTGTGTGTGCACTGTCCCTTTAAGAGCGTCTCAAACACACTCTCAGTTCTGTCAATCTGCATGTGTTAAAACTCAAACCCCAATTACTTTTCTTTTATGCCAAATATCATTAAAATATTAATAAAAAATCATGTTTTATGAAGATATTTTGTACATATCCTTCTGTAAATGCATCAAAATTCAATTTTTGATCAGTAATATGTATAATTTACACAACCTTCACAAATTTCAATTACAAATTTCACATTTTTGAAGCCTCAGATTGCAGATTTTCAATAGTTGTCCAATCCTCACACACTAAACATCAACAGAAAGCCTCATTATTAAAGAAAATGACACTTATAACTGGGTTTGTGGTGCACATTTGAACAAATGTCAGTAAACAAACAGATCTCACCACCCATTTACTCCAACTATAGTATATATGGGAGTAAATGAGCGGTGAGATCTGTTTACTTGCTGACATTTGTCCAGATAGACCTGTATAGAAAACCAAACCAGCTTTAGGTGGAGTAGATGATGACAGAATGTTCATTATTGTGTGTGCGCTGTCCCTTTAAGAGCGTCTCAAACACATTCTCAGTTCAGTCTTTAAACACTCAGTGTGTGGAATTAAACACTAGAGCTTCTCCGGCACAGTGATAATTTCCCTAAACATGTCCACAAACACCATCCCATTTACTCACACATGATATATGGCAGTAAACGAGTGGCGAGATCTGTTCAGTTACTAATAGAAATGTATAGAAAACCATAGGGTGAGCAGATGAGGATAGATTTTCAGTTTTGTGCGCGCTGTCCCTTTAAGAGCGTCTCCAACACATTCTCAGTTCTATCCACAAACCCTTAGTGTGTATAATCAAACACTAGTTAATAAGACAACTCCGCTCACATGTCCACAAACACCATGAAACACCAGCCCAGGCCTCCGATCAGAAACATGGTGATGTGCATGCTGTAGATGAAGAGGTCATTGAGGATGGCGAAGTCCAGGCGCCGGTGACCCAGCAGCAGCAGAATGACCGACAGCTTGTATTGTAGTCGGAGAAACACACGCACGCTGACATACTGCACGCAGAACAGCGCCGATAACACAACCCACAGCAGAGAGGTCAGCAGACTGCAGCCGAAATACAGGAGAAAGCGCACGAAGCTGTACATCCAGCGGGACTTCAGGTACAGGTCGAAGTTGTTGTATTTGGAGCGTACGAGCTGTGCGGTGCGCGCCGGGCCACAGGCCGAGTGCATGCATGTTGTGTGCGGCCCGTGGAAGGAGCGAACCCTCCGTGGGATGGGAATAACAGGCATGGGTGGGTCTGGGCTGGATTTAGGAAGGCCCGCCGACAGGACTCTTCCAGGAGCTCCGGGCCTGCATGCTGCATAACAGACGAGTGCATAAAGAGTGGAGCATCAGCCAATGGGAATCTCCATAGCAGTGAATACCTGGAGAAATAATGCACAAGGGAAGGGATGAAGCACATCCAGCCGGTTGTTATTAGGACTGCACAATACATCATTGTTAATGTCATTATTATATTCAATATACTAATATTATATAAGCTATATCGCATATTTTTCTAGTATCATGCAGCCTTAGATGTTATCACAGATTATTACACTGCTGTCTGGAATACTTCATGCTGATTGGTCAGTTATGATAATCCAAGATATGTTATTCCCTGATAACAACCGCTGAACAACACACAATCAATACGTTCACATCCATATTTATATGCTTGTCTTGGCCTGTTTGGCGCCAGCTCGTATATGAATAATGCGCAGGTTAGTGTATACTCCATCAGCTGTTTCTGACTGTCTCCATCTAGTGTCTGAATAATGCGCAGGTTAGTGTATACTCCATCAGCTGTTTCTGACTGTCTCCATCTAGTGTCTGAATAATGCGCAGGTTAGTGTATACTCCATCAGCTGTTTCAGTTTCTGTTGTGCTTTTGTCTGTTTGTCTCCATCTAGTGTCTGAATAATGCGCAGGTTAGTGTATACTCCATCAGCTGTTTCTGACTGTTTGTCTCCATCTAGTGTCTGAATAATGCGCAGGTTAGTGTATACTCCATCAGCTGTTTAAGACTGTCTCCATCTAGTGTCTGAATAATGCGCAGGTTAGTGTATACTCCATCAGCTGTTTCTGACTGTCTCCATCTAGTGTCTGAATAATGCGCAGGTTAGTGTATACTCCATCAGCTGTTTCTGACTGTCTCCATCTAGTGTCTGAATAATGCGTAGGTTAGTGTATACTCCATCAGCTATTTCTGACTGTCTCCATCTAGTGTCTGAATAATGCGCAGGTTAGTGTATACTCGATCAGCTGTTTATGAGTGTTTGGCGCCATCTAGTGTCTGAATAATGCGCAGGTTAGTGTATACTCCATCAGCTGTTTATGAGTGTTTGGCGCCATCTAGTGTCTGAATAATGCGCAGGTTAGTGTATACTCCATCAGCTGTTTATGAGTGTTTGGCGCCATCTAGTGTCTGAATAATGCGCAGGTTAGTGTATACTCCATCAGCTGTTTATGAGTGTTTGGCGCCATCTAGTGTCTGAATAATGCGCAGGTTAGTGTATACTCCATCAGCTGTTTCTGACTGTCTCCATCTAGTGTCTGAATAATGCGCAGGTTAGTGTATACTCCATCAGCTGTTTATGAGTGTTTGGCGCCATCTAGTGTCTGAATAATGCGCAGGTTAGTGTATACTCCATCAGCTGTTTCTGACTGTCTCCATCTAGTGTCTGAATAATGCGCAGGTTAGTGTATACTCCATCAGCTGTTTCTGACTGTCTCCATCTAGTGTCTGAATAATGCGCAGGTTAGTGTATACTCCATCAGCTGTTTCTGACTGCCTCCATCTAGTGTCTGAATAATGTGCAGGTTAGTGTATACTCCATCACCTGTTTTCCATTCTGTCATCTTTGCATTTAAATTAAGAATGAATAAACTATTAAGGGAAATTAGAACAATGTTTTGTGTCTAATTTTTATGTTTTCTGGCAAGTAGCTGTGTAATAAGCGGGATAAAGTACATCCAGCAGGTTGTTTTCTCAGAATAAAGCCTTCAGCCTTATTTAACGGGGCTTTGGTTCACATCGGGCTGCTGATAAACCATAACACAAACCATAAAAATACCTTGAATTACCTATAAA